TCATCATCATCATACCTGAAAGACTGTTGTCACAAGAGCAACAGCTTCGTTTGTACCGGTAGTATTTTTCTTGTGTTTTAAGGAGTGTTTGAAAACGCAGAATATTTGACGTATCGCTCCGCGGGTCCTCATCCATCTCTTTATAACACTCTCCGAGAACCGCCCATTTTTGGGGCTCTTTGAAATTTCGAGCGAGAGATCCTCGTCGCGTACTTTTTGAGGAAGAGAATAAACCAGAGTGGCACGTCCATAAATTGAAGCTATTAGTATTAAATTTAGAGCCGTATACTTTTGAACAAAAAGCGCAAGAATAGGGCAATAAAAACGCCCCCTAAAAAACCCAAACCAAACAAAGGCAAAACAAAACCAATTTTTTATGAAAAGGAAAGCAAAAACGAAAATAACAAAATAACGCAAAAGACACACACACACACACACACACACACACACACACACACACACACACACACACACACACACACACACACACACACACATATATATATATATATATATATATATATATATATATATATATATATATATACATATATATATATAACGAAAAAGCAGGCAGGCTGCTTTGGCCCTGCCTGTCAGCCAGGGCAAACCCGAGACAATCAGGATATAGCGGGTTTTTTTCGGGTTTTTTTTATAGTAGAGAGTTTTACGGCGCTCGCAACTGCATAAGGTCATATGAGCGCCAAGGGGTGGGTGTCAACAGCGAAGTCTTTACACGGAATAAGACTTACTCTGCTCACCTCTCTAGCTTCAACAGCACAAGGTCTGCTTCGACTATCAAGGCACCCCAAAATAGCAGGTCACAAGGGAGTGACAAACATACAAAAGAAGTAGAGGAAAATGACAATAGTAAGGATCAGGAAAGAAAAAGCAGCAGTTCCCTGTTGTAGATCAGGCACAGTTATGAGCGTGGCATGAGTCAGCCCATTTACAATTCGACTATGCTTGAACGAGATATGCCCCCCCCCCCTTTTGGGAATGGCCTAAAGACACTTCAGTCACTGGCACTGCCCCGAGGGCTAGGATATAGCGTCCAAATAGAAAGACAGAAATACCCCGCAAAATAAACTACATTGTCCACATGTATTTCTATATACGCTGGAATCGAACTCATCTTTTGCGTGCAAGCGCAACAGCGCGGAGCCTAACCATTACATCATCGCATAAACTAACGTATACTACTCTTCCTACTCTTCTGTTTTCAATTCGTCTCCTGTGTCCTCTTTCCTTGATCTTATACACAGTAGTCAACTACTGTAACGAGTGCGAGTTCTTTAAAAAAAAATTTTTTTGATGAGTGTTTTATACAACTGCACAAGGTCATATGACTGCGCGGGAAACATCAAATATTTTCAGTTGGTATGAAATTTTGAATTTTGCCCAAGAGGCGGCCGAAGCTTACTCTTATCGATTGTGTACCACCAAGGGATCTTTAACGTGCGCAACTTGCACGCGCGACCTCCGAGATTTTTCGGCCATATCTGAGAAGGTAAGTGTTGGATCTTACCTACCATAAGACCAGGGGTGTGGCTGCAAGGCGGCAGTAAGAAGGAGCCAAAGAGTAGCATTAGAAAGGCAGCAGGCAGAGTCTGGAGCCGAGAAGAGGGGGCGAAAGAGGTGAAGGGGGTGTGGGCAGAAAGTGGAGACGAAAGCAGACGACAGAACATTGTTAAAGTAAAGAGCAGAAAAGGAGATGAAAGGAGAACATTTTAGAGAAGAAAATTTTCTATCGTTATCCGGATTCGACCTCGGGACCCATTGAATGAGAGGCAAACACCATAACCTCTCGATCTCGAGAGCCCCCTGCGAGTTCTCTGAATTATTGAATTATTGCACCTCAGCTTTTCGCCAGTCCTAGCGGAAGAAGTTCAAGCCAGGAAATTGTGCAAGTGAGCTGGTTAGAACGGGCGGGGTAGGAGTGGGAGTGCGGGCTGAGGGTGTTTAGAACAAACTACATGTACTTATTTGGGGGGAAAGAAATTGCTGTCAGTGGCAAGCATATTCGTTTGGGAATTGGTAAAGCATAAGATATTTTTAAAATCCCACAGCCCCCTTAAAAGATTAAAACAAAACAAAACAAAATTACACGAAACTAAGACAATTTGCCTCTCACCCCCGTCTCCCCGAAAAGAAGTAGGTCTAAAAGAAAAAAAATGCCTACATGGAATCCATTGCTGTAGCATTTTTTAGGGTTGGGGCTAGAGGGTCTATGAAACATAAGCATATTTACTTACGAATACAAAATTTAAAAAAGGGAAGAGACCAGCTCCCTGCACAGAAAAATGCCTAGACAAATAAATATATAAGGACCAAAACAAACAAACAAAATAACAAACAAAACCCACAAAACACAGACAGCTGGAGTGTCAAACTTATGAAACAAATAGTAGCAAGGGGGAGGGGGAGGGGGAGGGGAGGTGTAGAGCTGTGTGCTTTCTTGCAAGAAAGACTATCCGATTTTATTAAACGTATTTCATCGTATAGAGACGGGGAGAGGACACAGGAGAACGAAACTTCATGAACAACTTCTGTTCATCAAGGACGCTCCGAGAGGATTCGAAAACTAGTTGCTGGCACCACAGCCCAGCAAGATACTAGTTGGCTAACGTTAACAGCACATCCCACCACCACAATACAGTTTCTTCTACTTCTACAGAGATGGACAAACACAGAAACAGAAAACTTCGGGCAGTTCTTCCAGACAGAGATGATCATGATACCCCATGCCTCCTTGTCTGTCTTCTTGATCAGCTCGGTTTTACTCTTTGTGTTATTCTAAGCATCTGCGTTTGTCGCGGTCGCGGCCGCGATTTTGGAATTTTTCCAACAAATACAAAAACCACCACCGGGAAGAAAAAATAATTTAAAAGCAACAACAACAAAAATAAGGAATAACATTCGCGCAAAAAAAAAGAAGAAATCCAACCTCTTTACTTTTAGAAAGAAAGTTTATTTTCACTTTCGCTTCACTTCGTCTCATTCTCACCTAACACGACGTTGACTTGTAATTTTCATGTGAAGAATATAAGTAGGCTACATCACATGACTATTTTGCTGTTTTTCTTTTATGTTTCCTTCTTCGTTGTGTTTTAATTTGTTGGTGTGTTCATTTTTTTCTTCTCGCTTTTGTTCAGATGTGTTGTTTTTCTATTTTGTGTGTGTGTATATATACATGCTTGATTCCATTTAAAAAAAAATGTGTTATGTTCGAGCGTGTCTCCACCAAAACCGAATACTGACACTGGCAGGCCCCCTTGTGCGTGAGTCCATAATTTACATGTTATATCCTGTACTTTTTCTTGAATTACACAGGTTTGGGGTTAAAACGGCCAATCTATCGATGGGTTGACACACGCACTTATTTGCTAATTTTTGAGGTTGTTTATTAATTTGCTGTTATAATTTTGATTTCCTTCTGTTGTGAAACCTTTATAATTTTTCACGTTTTTACACTCTGTGTGGCGACAAATGATATTCTGGATGCTTAAAACAGAGCACAAGAAATTCTAGTGTTTTAGATTAAGTTACCTCTATCAACATAATATTGCTATATTACGTCCTCACGGAGAGTAGAAAGCTTGAAAATTAATGGCAACTTTTTTTGGCAACTTTTGCCATTTTTGGGGCAACATTTGGCTACTTTTGGACCAAAAAATGGCAACAAACGCAGATGCTAGGTTATTCGAGGCAAAGTTGCTCAGGCCATCTGCGTATGTTGTTCTTTGTCTTCCTCTGCTCTTCTGTCCCTCTATCTGTCCCAGAAGAGCAGTTTTTCTTAATCCATTTAATCTATTTAAGTGTCCAAAGAATCTCAATAGTCTTTTTCTGACGGTTCTGATTACGGTATAGATCTTTACAACCTGCCTTTTGGAGTAGGCTATTTGTCTATTTTTTTCCCTCTTTGTTCACAAGATTCTGATCAAGTATTCTGCCTCTGGCAGTATATTATAGGTTACAATAACGAAGCATCCAAAGCATCAGCAGCTTTCACTTGAATGCCTTCACGTCATGGAGTGGACAGACATGAATCTCAGTTTGTACATGTGCTACAATGAGGTTTATTCAAAAGTACAAACAGGTGTTTTTTTCAAACAAAAGTTAAAAACATTCAGTGATAAAAATAATGTGAAATAATGGTCAAATAATAACAACAACAGCAGCAATCTAAATGTAATAATAATAATAATAATAATAATAATAAAAATAATAGTATCACAATAATGATACAATGTTTATTAAACAGCATCCACACCAATGTGGCTTTAGGTCCTACTTTAAAACGTTTTTACAGCCAAACGAAATGGCTGATCACTTGTCGTAACACTCATCACAGACAAATTCAGTAGAATACTGACATAAACGCATGTATGGTATAAAGCTGGAGAAACATTCAGAGAATAATGTGAGCCAGCACATCTCTGGATATAAAATGTACAAAATAATATAGGAAAATGAATGCAAGAGAATACATCACAAAACTAACAGTATCAGAATCACATTAATTCAACATTACACATTAAATATAAGTAAACATACGACATACAGAATCAACTGGATAGGGGGCTCTCGTGGTCTAAAGGTACAGGGTTCGCATCTTATTTAAAATGTTCCGAGTTCGAAAGCTGACAGCAAAGAATAAATTTGTGTCGCGACTCGATGGAATCAGGCGTAGGTAAATTTTTGGGCTAAAAGAGTTATTCCTATCATCATAAATATTGCTTTATTTATCTTTCTTCTGAGGAAAAAGATACCCATTTATCTTGAATAGAATTCAACATATTTGCGATCGGAGGATAAAGGGGTTGCCGGGTGTCAGAGGTAAGATTAGCGAGAAAATGGCCATCAAAGTTTGATGACTTCCAAAGCTTAAATCTCCTTGGAAACTGCAACTTAACATTTTTTTTGTGCCCTTGATCAACATTTTCAGTAAAATCCACTCAGAATGTGTTTTTAAATGGCCATAAAAGGTGTTGAGCCCACTAAAAGTTTGATGAAAATTACCAAACGGGTGGAAAATGCCAGTTTCTTCAATTTGATTATTTTGATAAATGCTCGATTTCATAACGATGCAACGCATTTTCTTCTCTAAAAATTTAACTTTTTTCCCTGTTCTCTAGTCCGGTTCTGTCATATTATATGATACTTTCATCTCCCCTTTCTTCTCCACTTTCTTCTCCACTTTCTTCCACCACCCCCAGCCTCCTCTAGGCTCCTCTCTCCTTCACTCATTACTCTTTTTACTGTTACCTAGCTCCTTCTTACTGCTGTCTTTCAGCCACACCCCTGATCTTACATAATTATATTGAGTACCTTCAAAATTGGAATGTGGCTGTCTGAAGGCCCTACAAATGAAGATAAACGGTCACATACTTAAAAATCAGTTGCACTGCAGGTTGAAGAATCAGCACTCCACTACCCCTGAGATCTAGCACGCAAATGAAAAAAGGTGAAGAAGAAGAAGAATCAGTTGGATGAGACTCTTAGAGGAAATACAAAATTGTAGAAGAGCCTGTTTACATCAAGGGTAAATGCCTTTACAAAAAACAATAAAAAATACTAATAAAAACAGCCATGAACCAGCACAGCACTGTCTATATATTTCTTAGATTGCACAACAACACTTGTAAACTAAACAACATACAGTATAACACAGATAGCTCCAATTCGTCAGGACCGGCCTTGGTAGTTCCAGGGATACGTGAACAGTGTTATGGCATCGACTGTGTCAGAGAATCAAGGGAAGCAACAAAGATTGCAACTTTAGGGGCAAAACAATAGGTCATGTGATGCACAACCCTTCCTCTCGCCCCCTCCACACAAGCCTAGCTAGATAATCATTGGGCATGTGTGTCGAGCAGTGCACTATAAATAGAACAGCTAGCTGCTTCTGTAGAGGAGTGAAGGTGGTATTTTCCCGACCTTGCCTTTTTCCGTAAAAAAAATAATTATAATAATTATTTTGTCTCAAGTGACCTCAAAGGACATAGACTTTAGACCTCTATGGTGCGGTAATTAATTCAACTATTCTGTGTTTGTGTTCGAGCTTTGCGTAATTTTCTTACAAAGATAGAGAAGAAAAATAAATGGGACCGCAGGCACAATTGGATGGACGCATGATTTAGAAATTTCTATGTTCGACCTATCTGTGTTATACTGTAGTATAAGAAATTGCAGCTTTTTACAACAGGGTCTCCGAAGGCTTTGCCGTCTCTCCAGTCCTCAGCACATTACCGCTCAGTGCCAGATCGTTGTGGTGTATGTGCACTGCAGCGCCGCCCTTAGACGCCACGATACTGGTGACTTTTTCTGGACGGCCAGCACGAGACACGAGAAGGTCGGTGATGTTGACTCCCAGACCGTGTAAACTGTGTAGGTGCTCTGCCTCCAGCTGCTCCTTTGCTATTTGTGCCTGCAGATAGGACAGGAAAAAACCAACAACATTAGAACTGGAGCTACTGGCAGCAAGAAGGTGTAAATTCATAGAGTATAGAGGCATATCCAGCATATTGTGTAGTAGTTAGACACTTCACTACCACACACAGAAGATTCGAGTTCGATTCTCATGTGATTTCCCCAACTCAGTTTTTCTTCTGGGATTATGTATACATCTCAGCTTGGGTTGGCCCTGACAGGTAGGGCCTGAGGCCACAGCCGATGTCCTCAATAATCTCCACTGTGTCAATGGGGTGTAAAAGAACACCGATGAGTTATTTTAAAAAGACATGAACCTTCATATTTAGGTGGAGGTGCATTTTCTAAAACATTTTCATTACAACAAACCACGAACCAACTTGAAACATAGCATGTTTATGAGAGAAAACAGTTATGGTGTAGCCTATGTTAACAAACAGGAATTGCTAGAGGAAACGCATTGTAAACTAATGGATGGTGCGTAACATTGGATAAGGGAAAGATGCAAGACGGATGAATGAGAGGAAATACTTTTGAGTTTCATAAACGTTGATTCCGTCAATTTCTTCCATTGGGGGAACTGTAACATGCATCTTCTCTTTTCCGATCTTATCTGTTTAGTTATTACTAACTGTCAATTGCCACATCTGACTGTAAAATCAGAAAACAGCAATAAGACTTACATTCAATTTGGCTTTATCCTCCAGAGTCTTTTCTTCTATGAGTCGAAGTCTGCTGGTCTTCTCTAGCTCCAGCTTGTGTTTCAGAGAATCTCTGTCAACAGAATATGCTGTAATTAATACTTTTTTTTGGTAAGTGTTTAACGGCGCTTGCAACTGTATAATATCATACGAGCGCGTAGAACACATTAAACATATTCAGTTCGGTAGGAAATTCTGAATTTTGCTCGGGTGGTGGCCAAAGCCTTCTTTATCGATTTTGGACCACCAAGGGATCTTTAATGTGTGCAACTTGCACACGCGGCCTCCGAGATTTTTCACCCTTATCAGAGAAGGCTAGGTGTTAGATCTTACCTCTCATAAGATCATGGGTGTGGCTGAAAGACAGCGGTAAGAAGGAGCCAAGGAGTAGCAGTAGAAAGGCTGCAGAAAGAGTCAGGAGCCCAGAGGAGGAGGCAAAGGAAGAAGACAAAAGACACTGTTTTAAACAGGAAATTTGAAAAATGGAGACACATAAGTTCGTATCATAAATTGATATATTGTTTTCATTGTCAAATTTCCAGTACAATATTCAACAGAGATTTCATTCAAGAATGTTCAGTCTCTTACTCACATTTCCATTTTCTGATTGTGAATCAGCTTTTGAAGTTCCAATTCTTGTTCTGTACAATACAATAAAAAAGGAAACACTAAAAAAAAAATGTAAGGGATCCCATCCATTCCTTGAAAAAACATGCAATCTGGTAAGTCATGTATTTGTAACGTTAAAAAATATATGTCTCATATATTCTACATACACTGTCCTGTACCAATACTCGAATCTAGAGAATGCAATCAAGTCACATTAACACACTGACATTCAGTTGGTTACTCATACATAGAAGTTCTATGGTAGAAGCAACAAAAAAAACTATACGAATCATAAACTTTTCAGAGATTAAGTCCTCTACTACTGCTACTCATTATTACTAATTACATGGGATCAGATTTTATTTTTCTTTGACATGTGATATGATACTGTGTACAAACATCTTTCAAGGGTTATGACATTCTTGTTACATATTCAACTCCAAGGGACTTTATCAAAAGTGATGATCAGTCAAATCTGTTGAAAAACAAAATCTCCCACGTGCACTTCGAACAATCCAATTGAAAGAACATTTGCAAGAAAAAGTGAAATGTTCAGATACTTGGTTGTGAAAATAATCAAGCATCACAGAAAAGTTATGAGCCAAAAATGGCAGAGCTTGATTCCGTTTGATGCTTCCTTCAAATGAAGAATGCTTGACGAGTCAAATAGACAGATCTCCACTCCCTCAAAGTTCACAAGAAATGTCAGCTTCATGTCATTTTCATCCCAACTCAGAGCTATGATTAAGCCACAAGAAATAGGTTCTCACCTTGTTCCAGCCTCTCAATTTCCGCTTCCAGCTTCAAGTCCTTCAGTGATTGCTCCTGAACTTCTTTCTCGTACTGCAACAGATGTGAAGAAACCAACACCATGAGCACTATCTTTTCATCACAGTAACGACTCTCGCAGTTAACTCAAAAAATGGTATATGTTTAACGCCCCTATCAAGACGATTAGGTTATTCAGAGGTGGGAACTCCGAGTTAACATCCATCTCTAAAAGGACAGAGCTAAGTGGGAAATTTTTGTAAAGTGCCTCTCCCAAGGACACAACATCAGACAGAGTTGAGACTCGAACCCCTGAACCCACAATCTCATGATTACGAGTCACTTAGGCTACCGATGCCACCTCAGTTAACTCATTCAATGCAATAGATAAGAATTACAAAACAGGCAGATTGTCCACATGCAACTGACGAGTAGGCTCTTCTCTCCCTCTTAGTCCAAGTCAATAGCTAGATCTTGGTGTTATTCATTAACCCTTTGAGCCCTTGCCTCTTGTAGACCCTCTTGCAACTGACTGAAGTGTCTTTAGGCCATTCCCAAAGGGGGGATATTATCATGTTCTTAAGAGACAGTAGAATTGTAAATGGGTTGATTTATCGCTGTCATGCTCATACTGTGATGGGATAACAGAGGGGGAACTGCTGCTTTTTCTTTCCTCATCCTAACTATCGTAATTTTTCCTCAACTTCTTTTGTATGTTTGTCACTCTCTTGTGAACTGTTATTTCTAGAGTGCAATGATAGTCGTAGCAGACTTTGCGCTGTTGAGGCTAGAGAGGTGAGCAAAATAAGCCTGGTTCCTCGTTTGGATTTCTCTGTTGACATCCACCCTTGGCGCTCATATGACCTTATGCAGTTGCCAGCGCCGTAAAACCTAATTAAAAGAAAACAGACTGGTGGTGCATTAAACTGCCTGTATGCCTAACCACCTGTTCACCGGTGTGCGAGACCGTATCTCTAACCTGGCCCATCAGGGGCAAAATGGGCACGGAAAACAGCGTTTATATCTCAGGATGTTATCAATTTTGCAGACCTTTCTGAATTACAAATAGATGCTGGGAATGACGAGGATTAACCTGAGTGGGATATGGAAAGTGATTCTGACGATCTTATAAATGTCAGTAGGCCTACCACAATATATCACTCAGGAGCTCAGGCAGAGGGGCACAGTAGCCTCAGGAGGTCAAGGCTCAAAGGGTTAAACGAAAGAAAAGGTCGAGGAAATATGTGAGGCATTGTGGTGAAATCAGGCACTCATCAAAATAATGAAATCGAAAAAAACGGGCATTTTCCCACCAGTTTGGCAATTTAAATCAAATTTTTGTTTTTTGGTCAACACCTTTTATGTCCATATAAAAACACATTTCCATGTGAATTTTATTGAAAAACATTGATTAATGGCACAAAATATGTAGAATTTCAGTTGTCAAGGACTCTCAAGCTGTAAAAGTTGCAAAACGTTGGCGACCATTTTCTCCACAATTTTACCTCTGAAACCATGCTACCCCAACCTACTTCAATCGCAAATATTTCGACTTCTATTCAAGATTGAGAGGTGTTTTTTTCATAGAAAGCAAGTAAAATGGATAAGCTTTCATATGATACCAATAAATCCACAGGCCAAAAATTGACAAGTACCTGATTCCATCACATCGTGACACATATTATTTTAGTTTTAGCTTTAGTAGAGTTTTTATGGCGCGCGCAACTGCATAAGGTCATATGTGCGCCAAGGGGTGGATGTCAACAGAGAAGTCCATACAGGGAATCTGGCTTACTCTACTCAACTCTCTAGCTTCAACAGCACAAAGTCTGCTTCGACTATCAAGGCACCCCAGAAATAGCGGGTCACAACAGTGTGACATACATACAAAAGAAATAGAGGAATTTGACGAGAGTAATGATTAGGAAAGAAAAAGCAGCAGTTCCTCATTGCAGTTCAGGCACAGTTATGAGCATGACATTGATGAATTAGCCCATTCACAATTCTAATGTGCATGAGAACATGTTAATGTCCCCCCTTTGGGAATGGTCTAAAGACATTTTAGTTAGTAGCACCTGAAAAGGAATTTGAGCCAATCACCTTTGATTGATTTGGTGTACTTTTGCATTGATGCCTTTTTAAAAACTAAATGTCTCTACTTTGATTATTTGCAGTGAGGGACTCCCAAGAGATATTCAAATGGTGAAGAGATATATCTATCTTGACTCCAACCCAGCCGCTAGCCGATCACAACAACGGGGCAAGCACCTTTTTTCTACAGTCTACTCGTACTTGCATTTTGGGCATCTATCCACTTGACCAATGACAATATATATGTCGTCAGACAATTTATTCAGCAATAAGATTTTAAAATTCTTTAAATAATTACTTGAATAGTTTTTTCTTTATGGCATTTTTCTGAATTGACATAATTATATGCAACCATAACAAAACTGTTCATTATAGAAAGGGAGCTCACCACTTTCAACACGGTAGCGCTTCGCACTGAATGAACAAATGCTGTACAAATTATTTACAGCAGTTTGAAATGATACTGACCAGATTTAAAAGTAAAAATAAACCAATTTGAAACTCTAGTTATAGTAGCTTAAATAAAAACTTACACATACATTTTAATATTTTGTACTGTCCAACTATTAAAACATACGAAAGAACAAAAAATACTTATGAAATGCCCATGCACTTAACTGTAACCAAAACAGGTATCATAAAAAAAAATTGTAGTATAACACAGATAGCTCGAATTCATCCGGACCAGCCTCAATAGTTCGAGAGGAGAATCATATAACTCAGATAAAGAAGAAGAAAAAACGGGACCACAGGCACAGTTCGACAGATGCGTGATTTCGAGTCCTCTGTGTTTGACCTATCCGTGTTATATTGTATTACGTTTAACTGAACATCACAATGATATTGCCTGTCTTCAAGTTTACCTTCATCTGGAGCTCTGTCCGCTTCTTACTCATCATGTCATGCATCTTTTGCAGCTTGTCATGGGCAAAATATCCGCGGAACGCTACTTTCGTCACAACGTAGCCAATCACTGCACATCGCTCAGTAAGTTGTGGAAAGTTCTTCAAGTCATTCAGTTCACTTGCTGTCTCAATAAATTCTTCATAGCTGAAATGTGAAAATAATACAGTACTTATGTACACTTTCATACTCTCTGCCCAAATATCTGATGTTAAAGTGTGACTGTGGAAGATTAAGCCAGACCTAGGACAAAATTACACCAACCCACTACTGCTTTCCTTGCAACACTCATAAGGCAGAGTAGTGTAAATGAGCTAATAGATTTTCCAGGTAAAAATATTCATTATGGATTGAGTTAGAAAAAGACATATTCATAATGTTTTCTTAGATTTACTCAACATTACAATAAATGATTGAAGCTATTATCAAAGCATGCAGATAGCCTATTTACAACACTTGCATTATCTGAACCTGCAAGTTATACAGTGTAGTCTTTTTCATTTTGTCTTGAGCCATCTTTCAGCTAAAAGGTAAACACAAGAGTCTCTGAACCTTTCTATCAATGTTTCCATACTTTAATAACCTCCCAACCATTTTTCCTAACTTCTTTGTCTCACTTGTATATATCGCTGCTGTCACAAGCAATCTACTAAAGTCCAAATTTTGAAAATATTCTACTTCTACACCTTCCCAAAGCTTTATCAGAGATGCCCCTTTTAACATCACCAAAATGCTTCCAGTTTTCTTGCTTCTTATGATTCCTGATAGGAACAATACAACTAAAACCAGTTTTTGCCTGTGCTGTAAAAAGTACCCAAATGGACTTCAATGGATTACTTACGACACTGACGATATTATATCTGTTCACATAAGAGGTCAAAGTATATTAAAGAGAATCCTTCACTCTTTGAACCCCATCGGGCGCTGGGAGCGTCCAGTACTAGTGACAACTGCTTCGTTTTATTTAGTGCTAGTTTTTGCTTGTTTTTCGGAACTATTCCCGAACAAAGTTTTTTAGTAAGGACTAAGACTTTGTTTCCGCTATTTAGAAGTTAGAGGCAAGCTTTTGGGGTTATAATGAGACATAGTGCATCAGGTTTAGGTGGCTGTAGAAAAAAACTCTGGAAAAACGGTGGAAAAGACTTAGGGCTTACAGAGTTAACTCTTTTTATCCTAGCCGTACCCCCATGGACTCTGTACCCGTCCTGGGGCTGCCGCGTCGTATGAGTCGGAAGTCAGTGCGTATAGTTCAAAGTGCTATATTTCTTACATTTACTCTAAGGTGTTAAGGAAATTTGGCAGTTATGTTAGAAATTGAATGTAGTTTTTGTAAATGTATGTGGTTAGGAAATACACCAATAGCACAATGTAGATTTTGAGGTGTATTCCACCCTTGAACTTGACCCTGATTGCCACGCCCACGACGTCCCATTGGATTTTATAGATCTAGATCTAGCCCTACCCATCGAGCACAAATTCCAGTACTGACCCCTTCACCATGATCGGAATCGCTATTAGATGAGTCTAAGTCCTGTTTCTTATCATCCAAAACGGAATTTACGGCATTTATTTCAGAGCCACTTTCATCAAATTAGTATCATTCCCCTCACAACCCAGCGCCACTTCAAAAAGTACTTCGTCGGTCATGAATGTGCGTTTTCGAGACAACTTTCAAGCTTCTACACTCATCAAAAACAAAGAAACCACTGTTCATTGGAAAATTAAAATATTCAGGCAGAGCTAGCATCGCCGTATTTGCGTATTTTGGTAATTACAAGCAGAACTAGCTTCTTTGGCGTGACCGTATCGCTGTTCCGAGAATACTCGTAGCCCGGACTGGTCCTCGTTACGAGTATACTCGTAGCCCAGATAAAAAGAGTTAATCAAAAATGGTGAAATGGTATGGATTTAACCCCCCTATCAACACTATTAGGTTATTTAAGAGGTGGGACCTTTCAGTTCAGAGTCCACATCCGAAAGGACCGAGCCAAGTTGGGCAATTGTGTAAAGTGCCTTTCCCAAGGACACAACGTTGGACCGAGCTGAGGCTCCAACCCCCGAACCCGCAATCTGATGATGACAAGTCTGGTAGCCTAACCATTAAGCTACCGACACTACTAATTCTTAATCAATAGAAACAAATAAACAAATGGTCCTCATACAAGACTATACATCTTGTGACTCAGAAAGAAAGATATGATAAAAGCTCTTACGTTTTCTTTGATGCAAAGGTGATGACATCGGCACACAGACAACTGCAATTAAAAAAAGATGAGAAACGATATTCAATACAGATTTAGAGCCAAAAAAAGAAGAAAAAAAAACATTGTATAAAAACTCTTTCTTTTTCTATTTATCTGATACACCCAAAACTCACAGACCCACATACACTTACCCACATACACTTACACACAAACACACACACACATACACAAGCACACACACACACACATGTATTCAGAGATACGCACATACAAAGGCACAAAAATGCATTGTATGCCCTTAAATGAATACTCAGGGAACTGGAAAACATATTCATCAGAGAGAATTTCTTGTTCATTTCTCTTCTTTAAGTTCTCATGGTGAACCTCTTTGCTTTGCTTACTCAGGGGAGACAAACTTTTCCTTCAGGATAACAGTCAAATTGTCCAAGAGTACTGTTCATCCATTGTTGAGGAGAAAAGTTGTTGTCTAAGCCTATGTCTCCTTATGTGCGGCACGACATCATTTCGTGCTCGGCAGTTGCTAGTGATGAGTCGCAAGGTATGTATCCTTATGCATAACCACATCACACACCACACACACGGCGTGTCGACCGGCACTCCTGGGTTAGGTACTTTGACCAATGGTGATGCTTTAAACCTGTCACACCCCCAGTCTGTCACAAGCGACGAAGTCTCGATCGCTACATGGACCGATCGCAGGCGATGGTCGTAGGCGGCTAGACATCGCAACACGTGTAAGGAGACAGGTTCATTATAATCTTACTTGATTGATTTTGGAGCGGCAAGGACAGCGTGCGACATGACGCCACATCGCGCATAAGGAGACATACTCTTAGTTGGGTGGGTTGCTTGGACAGTGTCATTATATCATGGCAAAAAATGCCATGGAGGAAGTGGGAGAGGGTTGTTTGTACACGTGATTGTCTTGGACAGGTAGCATTTAGAGCAGGTTTGACTGTATTTCATTTTCAGGAAGCAGACAAACACTAAAATTTCACACAATTAAAAATACACAAAGAAAAGCAATGGAAACGTACTTGATAAAATCTGCAATAGGATCTTTAGTTGTGTTGAGCTGAAATATAAACCATGAAAACATCAATAACCTGAAGAACTAGTACTTTTTGCATGTTAAGCTTGAAGGATTAAAAAAAATAAAATCAGTATATGGCATCAAGGCGTAAATGATTATGTCAGTCCTTGTGTGTGGCATTCAAGAGAAAAGCAAACAAGTAATTTTTATACCAGCATTTCCAAGTAGCCCAGGTGGACAGATACTCTCATCTACAATCCTGAAATACATTTATTTTTTGTTGTTGTTTGGTTACCTACCTTTGACAACATTCAAGAGGAAAAAAAGTTTCCAGGACAAGATCTTGAAATATCTTGTTAGTATAAACACTATGAACTTATACTAGAAAATTAATCAACGGAGATTCCCCAAATTGCGTTTCAGGGTTTCAGTTTTTTGCGAGACTTGTATGGCAGAGAGCAAGACAAAGGACAATCATTAAAGTAAATACAGAGAAAAATACACCATTCCCAATGCACAGAACAACTGTGTCTGGCACTATACTATAATGGTGATTGAGATGGGCTACTGTTGATCAAATTGCAGACTATTTACATCTCTGCTTTTCAAAAGATAAAAGGAATACAAAAACACATTTTTAGAAGAAAATATTTCATAAAGTATCCTCCACAGACAATGGTAAATCAGCATTTGTGTTGTAGTGGTTAGGCGCTTCGCTGTTGTGTGCCAAAGACCTGAGTTCCATTCTTCCATTGAATACCTTAGTCTTTCTACTGGGACATTATGGCATTATGTCCCTCTCAGCCTAGATAGGCCCTGACAGGCTGGGAAAGAGCCTGCTTCCTAAATGATCTAAATTGTGTTAATGAGGATATACAAATACCTACATTTAAAAAAGAATTTTCATACAATAGTAACGTAAATATCCCTCAACGAGAGAAGGCAACTTCACTTACCATTTCCTCAATGTCTGTCAGTTCGTAAAACATCATGAGTTTCACTCTGAGCAAGGCATCATCAGCTGTCCTCACTTCATCAACCTTTCAAAGGTAAAGCCAAAAGAAGCCATTCAATCTTGAAATACAATTGAAAACTACTGGGGAAGAACTAGTGATATCAAAAGTGCAGTCATTTAAAAAAAAAAAATCTTCACTGTAAAACAGTTATGACACAAAAATATGAAACCTTTCTAAAATTCCTACTAAATGAATATTTCAGGAGTAGAACACAAAAACTGATATACAGTAAAGCATGGATAGCTCAAATTCGTCAGGACCGGCCTCTGTAGTTCGAGAGATCCATAGTTCGAGAGATATCTTACAAAGATAAAGAAGAAAAAAACAGGACCGCAGGCACATTTTGACAGATGCATGATTGCGAGTCTTTTGTGTTGGACCTATTCAAGTAATACAGTAATGAATTATAAACAATAAAGAAATAGAAATATCTTTGGATCTAAATTTTTAGTCAGTACGAGAAGGGGGCATCACCAGTTTTTCCTTTGTTCTGACCTTATGTGAGAGGTGTAACTCTCATGAAATGGAAGATAAATTTCACATAATTTCTTATTGCTCAAATTTTGACCATCAAAGGAAATTGCTAATTCCTCACAGCCTGACTCGGCCCAGTGACAGAAATATGTAATGCTTAACCTATGATAAGAGATAAGTGCACAACCTGTACTTTTTCATTTTATGGAAACTTTATTTAACAAATGAGTGTTTTATATGTTGTGATGTGGGCCAATGGCCTTAAACACTAAATAAACTTACTTCTCTTGTTTAGAACAAATACAAACATACACTTGCCAACAAAAGACTTTCAATTCTCACTACTTGAGATAGTTTAAAATGTACATGTATTTTCATCTTTTTGCTGGGATGTATTATTATCCCATACAGCCCTGATTGGCCCTGGCACAAGGGGTCAAGGAATAATGTTTCTACAAGAATGATATTGTGTTTATGGGCATGTAAACCTTTTACAATTAAAAAAAAAAGAACCAAATACCACAGGACTGTCTTCACGTATTAAATTATTTGTCTTGAAAAGAAAAATAATAGAAAGCCATTGGTACATTAAATAAAACTGTGATGTTTCCTCACATTGTAATAAAACTGATCTGGGATGATCTTGAGAACAGTGAACTGGTCAATCCCTCGCACCATTCTTGTCTTGTTGTTTGGGTCAGTGCCATGCCAGCAGAATGAATGGAGCCTGAAGAAGTGGAAAAATTGTAACGATGGGCAGCCCTGTTTTAATAAGTGCACAAAAGGTATTGTTATAGGGCAAATGAACTTACAGGAAGAAACATTTTGCATATTGTCGCTGCAGGATTCTAAATGCCTAAATTGGTTTCTGGATATTTAAATTTTACAAGAGACTTAAAAAATTAAAAAAGCACAGTTTATTTGTCCAGAATCCAGCATTGTAGTGAATATTTGGATAGGTTAATCTGGCTGAAAGTTACTTTTATACAATGTGTTGTGTGATGAAAGTCAGAATTTCAAGCAAAAAAACAAAAAACGCATTTTCAGGGACAGCTGTCTAGAATCCTACAGCGACAACATGTGCTCTGTCTATAAGAGTCAAAAATGTAATTTTGAATTGTATGTCCCTTGGAAGGCGGACTTTGAATATATGCCAGTAAAGGGAGTTATTGTGCAGTGGTGTCATCCTTGGGTTGGAAGAGACACAGAAAACAAAGTAGCATTTTAACCCCTTCATTGTCAGGGGATGTGTGTTCCTACTGTCAGCAATGATTTTCAACGAAGCTTCTTAACACTTTGCCATCACAAGGCTCATACAGTAAAAACCCTTCAGGCCATCAAAGGCAAAGGCATTGTGGGGAAAATCCAAAGAAACTGGGAGGTAAACATCGCTGATAGACGAGATGCGCGGGAAAGTGTTAACCAGGACAGTTGTCCAATGTCTCAGTGTTTGTGGACTCGCTGTCTAGATCCAGCCCACTTCTGACTTAATCGGACCGCGAGTCTGATAGAATCACTTTTCTCAATTTCCTAATTCCCTGTGTTCCCCATCTAACCAATTTTGAAAAACTCTGAAAAAAAATCTAAGTCAAAAGGTGAAATTTGTGGCCTTTCAAAGCCATTTTGATGTTCATGTTTTGATAGAGCATGGGTTCATATATGGAAGACTAGACATGTGTTTATCAATCTCTGCAAGCCTAGCAGTAAACTAAAGCTCGCAAATTTGGTACAGATAAGGGCATTCTTTATTCTTGAATGTGAATCCAAGCTGCACTTGTGGCTAAATTTCTGTACAGAAAAATTAGAGCCAGATGGTAAATGGGATGTACATGTACCGTTTTATAAGCATGGTATGGCACAATTAGATAAAAATTACGTACAGTAGAACATGGCTATAGCGGAACTTTTGGTTCTAGAAAAAAAATCCAGCTGCAGGCAAGTTCCCATTATTATAGGAATGCAAAGGGGAATTACAGAAATTTTTTTGAAAATCTACATGATTACCTCCCTTTCATATAACACAAATTTGCGCTTTTAATTAGTCTTCCTTTTCTGGTCAAATTTGTTGATTATCTTCGCCTTTATTTCGAGTGAAAAACATTGATTTTCCTTGCGTCTTTGTTGGAAGCCATCTTTTTCTTGGTCTCATTGCTTGTGCTGTCTATCGTACCGGTAGGCCTTCTGTAGAACTGGTGAAACGGATGCGTGTGTATGCCTGAGCATCAACAATCCCAATTCAATGAATCAGAAATCACACACTACACGCTCTCTTCTTTTACTTTTGGTCTGGCCTAGGCCTAGGGCTTTGGCCTATACGCTCTTATACTGCACGTCTAGGCTATGGCACATCAGTGGCTCACGTAACGCGTCTCTCCACACCATCTCTCTCTGCCGCCTGCCCCACCTCCCTCATCACTGGACTGACCAATCACAATGCCACACCGCTGACTGCCAGTTCGGATCCCGCCTACAGCCCCCCAACCCCCTTCCCCCAGCTAGAGCTTGCTTGATCTCTCCTGCTGTATTCAAGTTCGGGCCTTTCCTTGTCCCCGTAAACCTGAGCACAGGTGATTGAGTTTGCATAGAAAAAAAGGGGGATTCCCGTAAGGTCCTGCTGTAGGGATGGTCCCGCTGCAGCCGGTGCCACTATAGTCATGTTCTATTGTATTTTGGCAATGCATTAAGTATGTCACAGGGCAACAAAGGGGTTAACCAGAACTTAAGTATAAGGCCATATGGCTATACCACGCAGGAGAGTTGAGTTAAAGTATCATTTTGTACTCACCATTCATTTTCATTGAGCATGATTAATGAAGGCCCCAGCAGTACATCCCGCAACACATTTTTTGTTGCGTCGTCTTGTTTGTAAACAACTAAAGCCTCATTTGCACTCAGTGACACCATGTCCTTGACCTTGATTGACAAGTGGATCACCTCGTTAAAGTGTGCAGTGCATGGCCTGAAGGAAATCAGGTTAATCTTGAGAAATTTTCCATGACAAATAGATGAAACAATAGGCTTATAATAAACAGAAGAAAATAAGAAAATATACACAGAGTGACATAAACTTATATACATAGGCCTACTGATTGTCTGTGGCGCTAACTACCAAATGACAACTTAATTTCATTTTTAAAATCATATCTACTTGTTACAAAAGTCTGCAAAAGGAAATCAATGTCAGTGTCTATCATGTCTGAGAACTAGGAACTTACATTCAGCAATAACATTTGAAACATTTATATCACACGATTATTTTACCTAAATACTTTGACGTATACATTTCCAGGACAAAACCAGCACCAAAGCACAGCACACATACCGTCCCAATTTCTTGAAATGATGAAAAAAAAAAGTAAAGGTGATTCAGATTATCCAATCCCTTTCCTCCTTCAAAATGACCTCAACAACAAGTGACTAGCTTTGGTGAACAATAAAATATATATATTTACCCTCTGAGATTCTGAACTCTTCCATCCTTGAACTTAACCACAAGGTATTCCTTTTGGCTGGCTGAATAAGAAGACATTGACCTGAAAGTCTCACGGAAGAGAAATATCTGAAAAAAAAAAACGCCCACAAAAACCCCACAAACAATTTGGTATATTGACTTCATAACTTTGGTAATTAGAATTACAAAGATTTGTTTTAAAAAATACAAAAAAACCAAAACAAAAACAAAGGGAATCTTTAAAACATACGATTTAAAGCAATTGTCCAGCAGCAAGGCATTCAAAAACAGTCAGAAAAAAAGCCCAATAAAAATAGGAGACATAATTTTAGCAAAGATGCATAATTCCTTTCCTCAATTTGAGAGATGAAACAAAATTTTTTAACATCACTGTCTGCAACATCTGTGTTAAAGTGCATAAATAGTTGAGGAAAATATTTTTTCAGGAAGTGGCATACCTTGCTTACAATATAAAGAGTAGAAAAAAAAATTGTTCTAAAAGAAAAGGACTGCTATAATTGAGAAATGAAAATATAATGTTCTCAGCAGCTACGTAGTGGCACCATTATAGCACATAAATAGTGGTGGACAATCATGTCCTGTGATGGTTCATCTTTCACATTCAATATATTTCAGCAGCATATTATATTGTTTCATATTATGCAGTTGAAGTTTTCCTTCTGAAAAGATGATTGTAGCCATATATATCAAAAGTTTCTTAATTTCTAATTCTGTCTTTTTTCCTAAAATTGAGCAGCATGTCAGATGAAAGCAGAAAAGAATCTAATCTTCAACTTACTCTCTGAGGTCCTTCTTCAACCCTGTAGCTGCCATCTTTGCTATAGATGAGAGCCTGTTGTGAGAACATAAAAAAAAAAGAAAATAAATAGGGCCTACTTGTTTTTTTATAAGTAGGTATCTGTCTCTTTTGCGCTCTCTCTCTCTCTCTCTCTCTCTCTCTCTCTCTCTCTCTCTCTCTCTCTCTTTCTGGATCAATAACAAAAACAGTCTTTCTCTTTCTCTCTCCCTCTCTCTCTCTTTCTGGATCAACAGCAAAACAACTCTCTCTCTCTCTCTCTTTCTCTCTCTCTCTTAATCTCTTTGTCTCTAACTCTCTCTCCAAATCTTTTGCTGCCAGGTTACAATAGCTTGTGATGAGGCTTTCAACAACTATTTTTAAAAAAATCATTGTCAACATTTTTTCGTTTGTAAGGAACAAAATAAACCTATCAGGTCTAACTTCTCCTCAAACAGTAAATATATAATCCAAAGAACTTTGGTAACAAAAACTTCTTTTCATTCTCAAGCACTGGGCAGATAACTGAGCTGTGATAACACAGTGTGTGCTGCAGAAAGTCTGTATCATATCCCTCTGATATGGCTCGATACCACAGAGGGCAGCCAGACAGACCCTCATGGCGGGTGAAAACTATTATTCTGGTACATGGTATTTTCTAGGTCATGAGCATGAGCTTTTGATGAAAATTATAGACAACAAGAGGCTACTATATATGTCACTTGACACTGAAGGAGGTCAGATATTTTCTTTGTACACAGAACACAGATTGTTGTCGTTGCTGTTGCTGATGTGGTTGTTGTTTTTGCGGCTGTTGCTGTTGTTGTTAATCAAGTAGACTTTGGGTATGTGTGCCCTGTGACCCAATCCCATGTGAAAAAAGGGCGGAAGGCAGGTAAAATTTGGCAAAGCAAAGCAGCGGTCTATTCCCCTTTGACAAAGTCTATAACCTCAACTTGGCCTGTGACCCTCTCCTAAAACTAAAAAATTTGAGTCTCCATTAAAAACATTATGACTCTAGGAATGCTTCAGCTTACCTTTTCACCAACATCTAGGGTTTTCCATCCCACAGTCATGATGGCAGAATCGAGATTGAAGGGTTGCTTTCCGATGTACGTCACAGGTACAAATCTAAAAAGGAATTGAATGAACGACAAATTCACTTCGTGTTCTGCTTGCTGTCACAAAATTTTGCGTGCACATTATAGTTGAACCTGCTCTTACGGTCATCTAAGATATAATCTCCTGTTCAATCAGCCATCCCCCTATTTTCCCTTTACAGTAAAAAAATAATTTATTACAATGAGACGGCGTAAGATGTCCATAGGTCTATTTATCATTTTTCTCGTTGACAGTGGGTGGCCGTCTTGGACAAAGTCACAATTTCGATTGTACTTTATTTTGCATAGATCTTCTATCATTTGACCCATTCAGACTGTGGGTGAGAAGAAAACAATCTAAAATAAGTCTTTTTGAAAATATAATAACTGATCCGCTACCATTTCAATAATTTTCATTTTTATCTGATTTGTATTATTATTTACATCTACATGTGATATTTTTTAAGGCCTTCAGTAAAAGTCTACTTAAGGTCTCCATTCTGAACTAAATAACGCTGTGAAACACACCCATGGTCTCCATACTCTCTGGGGCCAACAGCATTCATGGATGATGGTATATCATTCATGCATCCTGATTTTACCATACAGTGGAAACCTGATATAACAGGGATGGTGGGAGTAGAGAAAATGTCCTGTTATATCAGATCCCTGTTAAATCAGAAATGCAAGGAAAGTGAGAATTTGTGGACTAATCCATCTGTACTTATTCCTAGGTATTTTCCTTTGCCACAAGTACCCACGAACAGGGGTTTTGGCACCAACTTTCTCCATTGCCTCACATCAGAAGAGCTTGGTCCACAGCATCTGCATCGGGTAGTCTCATCTTCTTTCACTCCAGTGCAAACTTTCCATTGGAGTATGCTGCCACTATCTTCTCTCTATCCTTGATAATGGTGTGAATCGACCCTTGTGGAATGTCGAACTGATTACAAATCTCTGCCAGTGGAGCTTGCTTTTTGTCAACACCCTGGATTATTTCGTATTTTTTGTCAATTGAAAGGCATTTTCTCGTGCGCTTGACATCATTGGTGACACATTACGCGTGTGTGTTGCTAGGTATCGGGCTAGATCGAAGTCTGCAGCACACCACAGCCCCCTCTCGCTTCACATGCTGCGTGTGCTTGCAGTGGCATGGCTTGCGTGGGCTTGCTCCATCACTGCATTACTTTCTCTCTCTCTCTTACTTTTTACACATTGTAACGAGCCTTTGTCCCTGCTATAACCGGTTGGGTTGCGATGAGGCCCTGTTATTGCCGATAACTTTTAATAGAGACAAAGAGCAGGAAAAAACGGGGATATAAAAAATCCCTGTTATTACCGGATCCCTGTTATTACCGGGCCTGTTATATATGGTTTCCACTGTATATATCTTAATTGAGAAAAGAGAGCTCATAACCCACATAATATGATAAAAAGGTATTTCAAGCTGGGATGGAACATATATGTTAATATTTTACTTCCACCCCTGTCTCATACTCAGGTACTGTATATCTAAGCCCTTTTTTTGTTCATTTTATCCATTTAATACAAATTACTTTGTACTTGTTGCAAATTTTATAAGCTCTCTTAAACTTTAAGTTATTTAATTTTTTAAGAAGAATCGCTCGAAGGAACACCAATACTTCGGTGATCATATTATTTTCATTTCATCTGGTCTTAAAATATAAACTTCTTTATCCTAATAATTGTCGGTCTTAGAAATGACCGTTTTGCTGATGGTTTTTTAAACTTAAGAAATAAACTATAAAAGGTTGATGCTCCTGGAATAGGCCTACCCAAGTTTATTTAATGCATTAAAAATGTCTTGGGCCTCCCAGTTCAGAAAGAGTTATACAGTGTTCTTCTATATATATAATAGCCTACAAAATGAAAATGGGAGCCCTAGATTTAGATCTACCAAGTATTCCAAATATGAATAGATCTAATGTAGGTCTAGAAAAAAAAAAACAATAAAAAACGTTAAAAAAAATCTTTGCCTTTCCCCAATAGTCAATAGATGCTAGTCTAGGCCTAGGTCGATAGAAAGCAATCTGTTCTTATAGCAGACACCATTCGACAAGATTGGGAGATATATTTTATCCAAAAGTCATTTTCATATTAATTTTCATATCAATTTTAATACTCTACATTTAGTTCTACCAGTTTCTGTCCACTCTCTAGTCTAAAGGACTAAAGTTAAAAAGTAAAGGCTCTAATTACCAGTCTTCCAGCCTCGATTTTTCGCGTCTGTAACAACCAGTGTCAACGCTGATCTTGACGTGTAGATTTCTATACCTGTAGCAACAGCTCTCAGCAGTATGAAAAATTCAAAGAAGTCAAATTTGCTTTCGTAGCCAGTCCTAAACATAGCATCTGATAAAATTTGTTTACGATAGCTTTCCGATGATCGTGACGAACAAGCCCACACAATCAATGATCTAAATTTAAATGAAATACCACAATCAGGCCTCGAGTCAAGAATAACTCAGTTACTATATTTAGACAAAAGGTACCCCTTCCCTCCCCTTCTTAGAATTGTTCGCATTTTTTGTTCTCCTCGCGTCGTGTGTGACCACACTGGCTTCTCCTCCCTTTAAGGACGTAACGGTCACACATCTATTTTGTGTGATCAGTAGCAGACCAAAAACAATGTGACGGCACATTTCGAAACATCACACACAATTAATTTTTAAAAAACCCACTGGAATTTTCAGGCATACCTCATAGTATTCATACTGTTTCAGTTTCCTGCCTTTATAATTTATCAACTTCAGGAAGATAACTTTATAAATAAGGCAGGCAACAGCATGTAGGCTATACTCGCTACTTCAGAATTACAAAGTTCTATCTGCTCAGAGCCTACTTTTGAGAAATCTGACATCAAAGATTTTGAGTTTCATATCATGTCAAGCTTTTTCGAAAGCAATTCTTTAATATCTTGATAACGACCCCGAGGTGTAAATTATGATTTTAATATTAATAGAGCAGATAGAACATTTGGTTTCTGATCTCATGGTCTTAGTAACTTAAAACGGCCAAGACTGTCAGATAGAACTTTGTACATATGTAATTCTGAGGAAGTGTACTATGAGATATGCCTATTTATATATTTCTACCAGGCTCATTGTCAGTTTCTCTCTTTGTCTCACACAAACACCTTTCCTGCTTATTCCATTTCTTATGTCTCTGAGAAGGACCTCCTGATCATATCATTGGTTTCAGAGGATACTCATTTCAAAGAAAGAAAACTTTTTTTTCCCCACCACAGAGCCTTTAATTAAATCTTCATCAGCTTGTGAAATGTAAATTTTAAAACTGATCTTTCAAAATGGACACGGTAGGTTGTGTGGCTTGGCCCAGGACAGAGATATAGAAGTTTCTACTTCATTATTTATGGAGGAATTCACAGTCACCTTTTCTTCCAATCACCCTAGAACTTGACTTTGAGTATTGCAGACCTGCCAACCCTCCCATGACCAAAAACTCAGAGTTTGGGGAAAAAGCTTCGGAGTCTCCAGACTTCCAGTTGGTTCAAATTACATTACGAATCGATTGTGATGAATTAAACGTATAGATCGCAAATACATGCAATAAACACAAATAAAAATGTGTGTTGCAACTTCATTTACGATGAGTACGACTGATGGAAACAGAATTCAAGAAAAAAATAAATATTTTAATCAAATCTGATCGCGGTTCTTCCATAGGCAAAAACAAAAAATTGGAGTGCTCTGATATACCGGAGTACTTGGCCCGTCTGGTATAGAGGAGACATTGACACAATAACTGTTACTGTAATAAAAAAAATAAACCCAACCCCCCCCCCCTCCAAAAAAAACCTCCACCAGCCAAAACAAATGAGGGATAGTAGAAAAGTAGGACCTATAAGTAGGGCCTTTCAACCTCCAAGCCACTCTAAAACACAGAAAATGAACAACAAAATGGATAAAACAAAAGACATCATTAGAAATCGGAAACATGTTTATTTACACTCATTAAAATGTAATAAAATATGCAGTCTGAAGATACATGTAGCATGAAAATGCATATTTGCAGCATTATCGACTCAACCCTAAGATGATAATATTATTGAAACAGGGATAAGCCACGTTGCATATCATCACGGAAATAACATAAGGGAATAAGTCATTTTTGGGGGAGTTTTGAGTTTGTTATCATAAGGAAACGGGAACCATAATTATTTGGTGCCAAACACTAAACACTCCACTTCACCTGAAATTATCAATATAACTAGGAATTTCGTCATTTCACTTATATAAGTGAAAAAGGCAGTTAACATTGTATCTATGATGCACTTCCATAAAACTAAAACCAAAGACAGTAAATAACAAGATGGGCCACTCAGCCAAAAAAGTGTCCGCAGGAAGTATGCTCTTTGCTTCAGATGGCGCTGCAGTCTGTTTTGAAGCTCTCTTTCGTTTTTCCAGAAGAAGAATAGGAATAGCACCTCCTTGCGTGCGCAGATCGACTGCTGTTCATCAGCAGTTCGGGTTCGTTCAGTGCGGAGTTTTAGGTTTTTTTATATTTTAATGACCTCTCGCCTTTCATTCTAAAGTCAAATTAAACGAAAAAAACAATCACCCTTTCCTCCGGAAGAGGTTTTTTGTCAGTGTAACCATTTTAAAAAAGCGTTCTTCCGAAATTTATTCAAAAACTTGCTAGTTTCACTTTGATTTTTTAAACTCAAGTAGGGTAACTCTGTTCGCAAAAGGTGCGCTTTTGTGAAGAGGGCGCCACCGAATTTTGAGGACACTTTTTTAATTGGCTCAAAGAGAGAAGTGGCCCCTCTTGTTATGTAGACTCTTTGATAAAACACGAAAAATGACTTTGACACTTGTGCTATGATCATGACCAACGTGGCAGTCCCTTGCCCACCACCTCGATACCAGTGACATTCTGTTTCTTTCTCACTTTTTCTTTCTCCCTCTCTTTCTCTCTCACACTTACTCCACATTCCTAAATGATGCCACCAATCAAAGGGCTCTTGTTCTGAATGTAAATCATGTATATAGTATCATTGGCAAGCTGCTAAAATGTGTTAATCCCACAATTTTTTAAAATCAGTTTTCAAATTTGTGGAAATGGTTGCATAAGCTCCAAAAACATTTTGCTGAAATTCAAATTCTAAATATTGAAAGAAAAAAAAAGCACGAAAAAATACGTACTGAAACGTAGGTACAATTATCAAAAGAATGAAACAGTTTTTGTCTCTCTCCTGTTAGAGTTTTCTTTCTGGGCTCCGCACAATTGAACAGCTTGTGGACGAATGAAAGCATTTTGTGTGTTTCTTGGGTAGAGTCAAAACTGCTTCCCAGGTACATGTAACACAAGGTGCTTGTGAGAGAGAAAAACAGGCACATGGCAGCAAGGAGTCACTTCCACTTTGTGTGTTTGAGTATAGAGAATCACATCGACACAATAAATAAGGGTCACTTAGTGCTGGGAAAAAGTAAGACAGACAGACAGACAGACAGAAACGACAATGGGAAAGTAAAGAAGTAAGACCTACCAATAGTGCCCACTAACCACCTGCACTTTGACTTTGTGCCTAGGGTAAAACAAAAACTTGGGGAAAACTACATCTTCCACTAGCACACCGATAAACCAGCAAAATTCCCTTCAGCAAAATCAAACACCTATCACTATCAGCAAATCAAACGAATTCAACATCAACAAAGAAGTCATGGGTCATTGCACAGTGCATGCACCTTTAGGCACTATCAGTGGCTATCTGTCTATAGATGTAACAATGAAAAGGAAAACAAACGACAGAGCCATATTGCAAGGTAGCAACATGACTATATTAACTAAAGTTTTTCCAATTTTACAGGAGGAGCCAAACACTGATTTTTCACCTCTATATAAAACAACAATAAAAGGAATTTCAAATTAAAGTGTAGTTTTAAAAAATAATCGCATAACTGAGATTTTTACAGAGAATGAACCTCGGAATATGTCAAAAAGTAATTGTCGCCAAAACCCAAAATTGCAATATGTGAGCTGCTCTCCCTGACATGAGGTAACAAACCAATATATTTCTTCTACAAATTAAGAGAAGACGTCATGATTCACATTACCCTACTTCCCAAAACCCCCCCCCCCAAAAAAAACATTTTTTTTATCCCTCTCTAAAGTTAACAAAATGGGTTCCTATTTTATTTCTAAGTTCTTTTCTCTCTCAAACGAAAAAAAAAAAGAAGATTCCTCTCATTTTGTCACATTGATCTATCTACAATGAAAAGTAAGAGACTGACATACTTCGGACTTATTTGCCCTTTCCAAGTGTCGAATTGAAATCCACGCCACTGCCACTGCTAGTACTCACAGGTGTACGGAATCGTTCATATGAGGAAGGAAAAACAGGCACTGAGGATACCTACACATTCTCACCCACAACATACGCAAATTTTTTTCTTACAATTTGTTTTTGTGCCTCAATTGAACATGCACTCACATGATACGCATATTATGATAAAAAATGTTGACAGCAGTCGCTGATCCAGAGAGAACCAACTGACAAGATTATAGCACAACCCAGGGAATTAGTAACATGATCACCTCTCCTGATTCTGCAGCCCCATAAAGGCAGAGTATCCTAACCGTTCGGGTTTCACACACCCCTCAACAAAGAAAGGTCAAACATTTATTACGGTACCATTCTGGGCCTCTGATTGAATTCAAGAGTTTACTTAGCCTCATCTTGTATTACTCCATTTTTCTGGTTTTGATGTACATCACTATAAAAGCATTGAAAGTACTGGCTTCAATTTGTCAGAGCAAGAGCTAGCACAATATAACAAACTGAAACTTTACCAACACAGGCATTAACCGTAATAATTTTGAAGGGAAAGATTTTTGTCAACAGTCCTGATAGCTGTAACAAAAACTTATAAAAAGTTAGAAACTGGAGCTAGTACAAAATAGCACACAGCTCACATAATGTCAAACACCCACCTCTAGCAGGAAAAAATCAGGTCGCAGGGTTGGCTGGATAGGCATAAATGAAAAATCTAAGCAAACGAAATTCAAGAAGGCCTCCTTGGCAATTTAGAGAATCACTCGAACAACAGTCCAGCATAAGATTAGCGGGACAAACATTCAACAAGGGCAAAGCAATGAGTGTGATATTAAATGAAGTACAGAAGTCTTGAATATTATGAACTGTGTGCCTACAATGCACAGAATGTCTAGACAAAACCAAATTTAAAATAAAAATATGAAAAACTAAAATTTAAAACATCTAATGTGTGCCAATTATCAATAGCAGCAACAACAACTAAGCAAAAAATAAGAAAAAATAAGCATAGAATGAATGTGACATTAAGGCACAATGGCAAATGAATGACAATTCGTGAAATATTCATTCATTACTCCACTTTTCAGATCTTTACTCTTGACATACACAACACACTGTCATGAAAGACACTACCATTTGGGAACCTTTGACATTCTGAAAAGTTCTTCTATTTAACAACACTGTTTCATAACGACAGAGCAACCATCATTGTAGAAGCAGTTCAACGCATTCATAAAATTGTAAACCTTGCAAATTCTTAAAAGTTAAAAAACAAACAACATAAAAAAACCCAAAAAGCTAAAACAAATACCATGTAAACTTCGGCTGACATCATAGGAGATAACTTTTAACACTACATAA